ACTACTAACACTACTACCACTACCACTACTACTACAACTACACAGGCATGTTGAGCTACGCTCTGCGGTCCGTCGTGGCTGCAGCCTCCGGCCGAAAGCGATGAGCCGTGGCAAAGGCCGCCTTGCTGGGTCTCCATTTTGGAGCTTCGTCGAATGTAGTGGGCCTAAATAATTACCAATATTTGTTTAATTTGTGGGTCGTGGCTGTGGTAAAGTTTTACAGAGTGGCCTTTCGAGGGTTGTTTGGGTTGAAACTAGGGGACTTGTCGGTATGGGAGCTCATGCCTAGGCAAGGACTCTGGGTGTTCCGGTCTGGTTTTCAGGGTCTTCGCTAGGGTTTTGAAGGCTTCGGGTTTCGGCTTGGCCTGATGGCCTAACCTGGTTTGCCGGCTTCCGGTTTTTAAGATAGTGTAGCGGGTCTTAGGGTTCATGGTTTAGTGCTCAGGGCGTCACATGCTGTTCTTTAGGGCGAGTGCTCATGTCATACGGCTTCCGCCCGGCGGCTCAACGTCGCGGGCCCTTGCGCTCACAGGCAAGTTTAAAGCGTAGCCTCCAAGCCAATATCCGAAACCCCAAACCCACAGAACCTAACCTAAATCCTGATCCTTTTGATCCTGAACCCGGAGCCCTAAACCCAAACTTCCTCCGACCCATGGCCACACGCCTGATCCAAGTAGCCGTTCTTGTGGAGCACCTCAAAGCTCCCACTGAGGTGGTGGTTTAGCTCAGGTCCCTGCTGCAACGTTGGGGTTCAGGGCCATGGGAGGCTTGAGGATCAGGCTCGATGTTGCCCAGCATCTGACACATCATATGCAGGAAAGCCAGGTGCTGAAGACCCGGACTGATGCTTTCATGGGGACTTCGGCGCAGAGGCCCCAAAGCCCAAAGGCCTTTGTCTTGTTCAGGGCTCATCCTAAACCCTGAAGCCTTGAGTGGTGTGAGACTTGAGGGCTGAAGCCGATGTTGCGTACTGAGCACGACGACGAAGCCGCATGAGATGCAGGTCACCAGGAGAAGCAGCGATACCTCAGGGCTGCGAGCTCTGAAAGCTTTCCCATCTACGACCTGCCCTCGTCTCAACTGCCATCCAGTCGGCTGCACCTCGCCCTCAACACCAACAGCGCCCCATATCCTGAACCCTCAAAAAGGACGCCACATTTAGGGACACACTCTGACAACCCTGGGCCTCACGCTGCCCCAGCATACCCTTTTCCTGCTACGACTACCACCTAAGAACAATAATAATAACAATAACAATAGCAGAAACAATAATTATCACAAAAGTTATAACAGTAACAAAACTAGTTTGTGATAGCAATAGTAATTACAGTAACAACACTAAACATAACAGTAGTAATGCTGAGAATAATCATAAGGATACGTTTTAAGCTTCACCAACACTCTCACCCTAAACCCTAAACCCTAAACCCTAAACCCAAACCCTAAACCCTAAACCCTAAACCCTAAACCCTAAACCCTAAACCCCGAAGCGCTGAGGCTCCAGGGTCGGGAATCACTTCTGTAAACTCATGGTGGGTTAGTTCTCTAAAGTTAGGGTCCCCTTTTTGGAGTTCCTTTAAAGGCTTCCCAGAGGTTCCTATAAGGGTTAACTCTCTAGAGTTAGGGTCCCCTTTTTGGAGTTCCTTTAAGGGTTCCCCAGAGGTTCCTCTAAGGGTTAATTCTCTAAAGTTGGAGTCCCCTTTTTGGAGTTCCTTTAAGGGTTTCCCAGAGGTTCCTATAAGGGTTAGTTCTCTAAAGTTAGGGTCCTAAAAAAGGAACCCTAACTCAGAGAACTACCCAGGCAGGACTTTTTCGGTGTGTAGGCTTGGCTTAAGGATTAAGAGGTGATGGTACGTAGACAATCAGGGTGCGAGATTCTGGGGCTTTGGGATCTGAGCCCACTTCTTGAACTGCGAGTAGGAACTTAAGTTAAAGCCTAAGGCTAAGGCCCAGCAGGTTTGGAGGAAGCTCATCATTGAAAAATGCGGAACAAGAATAAGGTAGAGGCCACATAAATTCCCAACAGTCCGTTTTCAGTCGCATTGCAATGTGAATGATACTGCAGGCCTGTAGGTATTGGGGCTGTAAAGGAACAGTGTGCAAAATCATCACACCCCGAACCGCGGCCAAAGTTGCAGACCTTATATAACTACTGCACGCTCGGCCGCATTATCCCTTTAGCCTCGGAGCTTTTGAACCTGAAGCTCTCTTCGGTAGCTCAACTATGCTAAAACCTAACTTCTAAGCCCTGGACTCAAGATTCCAAGATTCCAGAACCCCCAAACCCAAACGGGACTGAGTCGATGCGCCACGGTGGCGGTGTGGTCCACACTCCGGCGACGTCGAGCCATGGGGCCATCTTTAGTTTAAGGCTTTAAGACGACTTTAAGGCTTTAGGACTTCGGGGCTTTTTGCTTTCAGGGCTTCCAGGCTATCGGCTCTGGGTGTGTCGGGCTGTTTGTTTTTTCGGGTTCAGGGTGCAAGACTCAGGGTCTTCGGTTCTTGTGTACAAGTGCGACTTTTCAAATTAGCCGCCTATGCGACTCGGTTTTCGTGTCGTAACTGTTCAGATTGGTAGGGGCGGTCAAAAACCGAGTGGCGGCTGCATCAGAGTGAGCTTCACTTAGTTTGGCCATTTGCCGCGACGCCATCGTGTGGGTACTGTGCGGCTAATGCGGGACTTTTGCATGCATGCTTGTCTACGATCTTGCAGCTGTAAACCGCTATCCCTGTGTACACAGGGGTTTGTGGCACCTCTGACCTCAAGACAGCTTGCTTCTCGGCGCTCGTGTTTTCAATATAAGGGCCTTAGTAATGAGAATAGAGTCTGGGGGTATAGTCTGAAATAACTATGAAAAGGAATCCCTAAACTACTCTAAAAACCCCAAACCCCAAATAGCATTGCTAATATTAAGGCGCCTATATGGTAGGTCCCTGCTATTCAGCAAGCCGGATTTCGGGCATCAGAGGCTTGCTGGGCATCAGGATGCTCTGGGTTGGTTTTTCCCACGTACCTAAGTTGAGTTCACATGCCTAGCAACTTACATTGCAGCTTTGGGACACCGTTGAATTCGGGCGCATGTCCGAATTCAACGACGTCCCAAAGCTGCAAGGCAATGTAACCAGTACTGGAGGACCCACGTGGTTTGTTACTCTCTTTGCTTTGCTTTGGTTACTCTCTCTCTCTCTCTCTCTCTCTCTCGCTTACCATGCATTACATGCATTAGCAACAAAATGACAGAATTTATTATCTCACGGCATCCATCTTCCCTTGTTACACCCT